AATATATAAACTCCATTGGTAACTGCCTAAATTACATACAGATTGGGAAATATATAAACTCTATTGGTAACTGCTTAAATTACATACACATTGGGAAACCTAATGCCCAAATAAAATAGTTTGTATTTTTATCACCTTCAATTTGCCTCTTTCATCAGGCCATTCCCTACAGCAACTATGTCTATGGTTCACCCTGAGAAGCAAGGCAGTTCCCGATCACTCTTTCTGCCGACTGTTTCCAAAGTTGTAAGTGCTTCTTCATGCATGGCTAACAGGAGGCAAACCTCCTCCTCTAATCCCACTTTTTAAATGAAGAAAGAGCTTCTGAATTCCCAATGGAGGTGAAATGACGGATTGAATAGACTTCACTGCCCGATGGATCCCCTTCTGAGATCAGTGTTCATGTGGTTTTTATGGTCTTGGATTTCTGTTGTGCAGCTTTAAAAAGAAATGTGCCCAAAAACGTAGGCTATGAACTCATCAGGGTCGCCAGGGCTACCAATGCAAGTAGAAGTTTTGTCTTCCCGTTTTTTTATTTATTTAAATCAACCTCTCACTTGGTTGTAAAAAGTTCTATTCTATAGAGTCTTTGAATGGGTTGGCACAGAGTAAGAGGGTTGAGTCAGAATCTTAAAGCAGAAAAATTTTGGTTTTATCCTAGTAGTAATTTGGCAAATATCCCTGATGCTGCTGTGAAGTTAAAGGCACAATATGTAGGTTTTTTTCGCCACAAGAGGGCGCAGTTTCCAACAATAACAAAGCCGTAGGTTGATGACGCAGTGATGAGCTGAATGATGGGACTTGCTGTCAAGCTGATGGATCTAATAATGACAGATATCACACGCGAGTCCCGCGGATATAAAGGAATAAGGACATTTAATTCTACCGAACTACCTGCAAATGCTGGATTACTCACACAGGTCAGTTTATTAGACGAATTAAACTTGTGAGGTAACGCAGCGCTGCTTCACGTGGTCTAACGTTACACTATCACACTAAACGGCATTTAAATGTGTGTTGAAAGTTATAATGTTATACCACGTGTTAGTTTGTTTGCTATACGAAACTAGCAGTAAGCTAGATCAACATTAAAATAACATACTGACCATATTCTAACATTTCATCTTGTTGAGCTAACGTTATGTAACATTGATTTGTTTTATGTACATTTGCTCACCTGTCTAATAAAGCTGTCAAGTCGTGACTCGTGAAGCTCTGGCGAGTCCAAGTTAGTCGCGGACGCTAGCTCTCGGGATCTCAAAAACGCCACGCTGATATTGATCCTCATTTTAGTTCTCCTTGTTTGTCCCAAAGTCTGCTTGCCATGGTCTATGTTTGAAAGAAACAAGAACTGCGTGCCGCTAAACGCTACGCACTTCGCAGTTGTCCACGTCTGTCACCATGGTTACGTCATGGCTATGGCAGTACGAGCGGAAACCGAGGATAGCGCGAGATTGCGTCATTGACACGCGACAATTTTTTTCCGGGACGGACACTTATTTAAAATTGGAATTTCTCTGAAATAAAAAATCTTTGGAGACTTTTGGGATATTGTAAGTACACAACTGCAGGAAATACATCACACTGTGCAAGTGAATTTTGGATATTTTATTACAAAATTCTTACATATTGTACCTTTAATGGTGTTGTTAACATAAAGTGAGCACATCTGTTTTCGAGCATATATACCCTTACAAAAATAGTATACTTCAAGTTCATTTTATGAAAGGGATAGTTCACCCAAAAATCTCAATTCTGTCTTCATTTACTGTCCATGCTATGGAAGATCCATTACTGTTTGGTTTTAAACATTCTTAAAAATATCTTCTTTTGGATTCAGCAGAAGAGAGAAATTCATACAGGTTTGAACAACTTGAGGGTGAGTAAATGATTTTTTTTTCACCCATTTTTGGGTGAACTATCCCTTTAAGTATATACTTAAGTAAAGTTCAAGTATATTTTTTTAGTATACTTTATGTATTAAGTATACTAATATCAATATACTTGTAACTATTTCAGTACTACTTGGGACTAAATTGGCCCACTTTTTAGTGTATAAGTATACTTTTAAGAATAATTGAAGTGTAACAGTAGTAAACTTTGAGTACACAACTAGTTTTCAACTACACTTTTTGTTTGTACTGCAACTTGTGAACTTGTAGGTAGGTATACTGATAGTTTACTAGTCAAATACTTGTAGCACATTTTATAGTTTATGAAAGTACACTTTGAAGTATACTCTGTTAACTCCTGTTTAGTAGTTTTATACTGCAAGTATACTTGTTCCTATTTAGTTTTTCATTTTATATATTTGAAATATACCTTTAACTGTACTTTAATTATTTTCCCTCCTGCTTTTATATATCTCTCTCTCTCTCTATATATATATATTTAATTTTCCCGTCAGCTGCAGCATTTTTGATTATTCTAAGCAAAAAGCTGAGTAAATTGCTTTTTTGTCAGACTTCGTCCGGATCGGATTCAAACGATGGGCGATGATTGTTTGCATAATGTGTGTGTGAGCAATGCTTCTAATACATGAAAACATGTATTGCCGGAAAATTCCGTCATAAAGCGTTGTGTCATAAAGGATGTAAGATTTCAATGGCGAGGAAAGATTTAAAGGGATAGTTCACCCTAAAATGAAAATTAAGTCATCATTTACTCACCCTGGTGTTGTTCTAATGCCGTATGCCCTTCTATCTTTTATGGACCACAAAAGGATTTTCTTTTTTTAAATGTCTCGCTCACACTCGTCCATATAATGGCAGTGAATAGCGACCAGCATCGAGCTTTTAAAAAAGACACAAAAGTATCAGAATGATCCCATGCCGTATACGATAGGGTTTAGTAAAAAACAAACGAAATTGAATGTATTATTTAATGAAATTTTTTACTTAATGCATGATCTGATGAAGAGAAAGCAAATGCAAAGCAAGTGTTCTTAACACTCTAAAAAAATGCTGGGTTGTTTTAACCCAATTTTGGGTCAAACATGGACAAACCCAAATGTTGGGTTAAAAATGAAATTTAAAAATGTAACCCAACGGCTAGGTTTGTCCATATTTTACCCAAATTTGGGTTAAAACAACCCAGCATTTTTTAGAGTGAAGAACACTTGCTTTGCATTTGCTTTCTCTTCATCAGATCATCCATTAAGTAAAACATTTGAACCCGAGTGTTGTCAACTTTTATTCTCTCATATCCTGTAATTTTCTCCTCTCATTCTATCATGTCCTATTCACCTCTCTATCCCCCCTTTCTCTCTTTTCTCCCTCTCGGTTTAATCCAGATTTCCACTGTAATCCCTTCATTTCATGTAAGGATCAGCCATCACACACACACGGAGGCTTAAACACCCTCTGCAGATGTAGTGGATCTGCTGTCTCTCACCCAGCGCCGGCCCTCACATTTTAGGGGCCCTAAGCAGTTTTATAAAAGGGACCTCATACGGTTACACCTTATAACCCCCATTCACCAATCCTACTGACACCTTTATTGTAAAGTTTTACCAAATTGTCATCCTTCAGTGATGAACTTAATTTCACCAAGTGCAACTTATTTGTCTATCCTGGAACAACATTTCAGTCAACCAATCAGATTTGAGGGACAAGTTTCCATAGGTTTACAATCAGGTTTGGTGCTTCGACATCAGTGTTATTCAACTATCATTTCCCTCTGATATTACGCATAACGTATGTGTAGGGTTTAGGGGTAGGACTACATTTTTCGACGTTCCACGATCAACAAAATATGTCAAAATCACGGTGACCCTTACTCAAGATATAAATCTGAAGATATATTTACTTATTAAGCAAACTTTTACCATTTTAAAAGAGTTTGCTCTGAGAGAAATGTATCAAAATTTAGTGAGATTAATTCTTTAATAAAGCAATATGAAAATGAAAATAGAGAATATATTGTCACGGGTAGTGACCAGTGCACATCGAGCAAACAATCCTTTAATACATATAAATCCAAATGGCACTGGTAAACTCAGGGAACGGGTATTACAACCAAGTTACAAACAATTCAGGACAAATAACTGACTGAAACTGAGGGCTTATAAGTGCAAGGGCAAACGAGTTCATTCATGAGGTAACACGGGAATGGGTGAATCCTACGAAACAGGAAAACTATAAGGAAAACAGCAACTTTGACACTTCAAAAAGAACCTAAAGAGTTTGTAAAAGTAATCCATATGAATTGAGAGGTTTAGTGCAAATTTTCTCGATCAGAGAGACTCGATCACTTTATATGAATTTAGGCTTTTATTCACATATAAACAGGGCCTAAACTAACTTTTTTTCCTTTCAGTGGCATTGCATTGGTTGTCATTTTTATATTAAATGTGCAAAAGTTCTGATGCGATTTATCTTTATTGAATTTTTTTCATTACAAAGCCGAGCGGTTTTAAGAGGGGTTTGTATACTTTTTATATCAACTGTGTCCATTATATCCTGTAATAATATTAGACTGTAGAATTCTGTTATTTACAAATCAGAATATAAGTAGGCCTACAACTAATCTAGAATCTAAATAATGCTGAAATATGCAATTTGAGTGACAGCCACGCTATTCAGCAAGTAACAGTGCAGATATTGGATAATAATTATGTATATATTGTTTATATTAGTGCACAGCACACCCACTTAATGAATTTTCTTAATAAAATAATGTAAAGTAAGTTTTTTTCTTTTAATATTTTTATTCACAGTATTCTTAAACGCAATGCCATACTAGATGCAATGCAATGGAATATAGTCACTCCTCTGCGAGTCAAACCTTATATCGCATTTAGTTATATTTACAATATAGTACTTTACTGCTTAAGTAAATCTCTGTAACTGAAGCAAAACAATGTAAAAGTTTATTTGAGTGTTGGCGCTCCTCTGATGGGCAGCTGCAGTGTCGTACTGTTCCAGCAGGTGGCAGTGTGTTGTACTCATGAGTGTGTGTGTGTGTGTGTGTGTGTGTGTGTGTGTGTGTGTGTGCTTTAGGTGACCATTCTACGAGGAAAGGACGGCTTCGGCTTCACCATCTGCTCTGACTCGCCTGTTCGTATACAAGCAGTCGATCCAGGCAAGAACTGCTCTGGTGTGTGTGTGTGTGTGTGTGTGTCAGAGGATGCTGAACTGAAGGCTGGGAATGTGTGGTTTTTCTGCGTCATGGGTTATTAAGCATCACAGTCAAACATGGGTCAATGTGTGTGTGAGTTTAAGGCTACATGAGTCACAGCTGAGTAACACTCACTGTCGTCTTTATAAATGTTGTGTGTGTGTGTGTGTGTCATGTCCTCAAAGATGGCAATATCCGAAATCCTTGTGGGGACATTTTTGATTTTTTGAAAACGTAAAAATGCTAAATGTTTTCTGTGATGGGTTTGAGGATAGAATATACAGTTTGTACTGTATAAAACCATTAGCTATGTCTATGGAAAGTCCCCATAAAACATGGAAACCCAACGTGTGTGTGTTTGTTCTCTCAGGTGGGCCAGCGCATCAGGCTGGTTTGCAGCAGTTGGACACTGTTTTGCAGTTAAACGGTCAGCCTGTCAAACATTGGAAGTGTGTAGATCTTGCACATGCTATTAGGTACATAACACTATAGTTGTGAAGATCAAATTATTCATAATAATTCACTCAGGCACACTGTACGCATAAGCTGTACTAAAAGAAACGCAGTTTATGACCTTTACCTGATTAAAGACCTTTGTGAAAAAGTACATACTGTAAAAAAACACTTATTACAGAAATACTACACTTTAAAGTAATACACTTTTTATTTTTTTTAAATATATATTATATATACACAATATAAAGTAATAAACTTAAGTGCAAATTGAATGTTATGTTTCTTGAAAACACCTTGCTATTAAATAAAAATGTAGTATAGTTTAAATTTAAATTAAACACAACTTGTTCAACTTTTTTAAGTACATGTTCATATGTATTTTCATAATTAGCTACTTATGTTGCCTTTGAAATACGGTTAAAGTGTGCTGACAAGCATTTGTGGTAAACTAAAATATACTTTAAAGTCATTTCTTTTGCAATCTGTATATCATGTATTTAAATACTTACACATTTGTAATGATGCAGTTGTAATTTAGTACATTTAAAAATATTATATTTAAATGCATTATCGAATTGCACACTACAGTTAACATTATAATCAAGTACTTTACATATTAGTCGGCACATCAAAATGAGTGTACTTCTTTAAAGCAACTGAAAAGATTAAAACACAATTATTTAAAATGTTCATTAAACTTTTAATTTGACATGATTACAAAAGAAACATAGTTATGACAGTGTACTCTCTTTGAGCCTTTCATTTCATTAATATTATATTATCTGCAAGTAAATTATCTTTTAAGATTTGAAGTATACAACATTTAATTAAATTCAGCTCATGTCTTTTTAACAAGGTGAAACCTGTTAAAGGTGTTGACACATAAACACACTCAATAATTAATAAATCAATCAATCAACTCTTCTCTGTTTGCTTCTCTTCCTTCGTTTGTGCTGTTATCTCTCACTCTCTCCAGAAATAGTCTAAGTGAAATCACAGTGGTGGTTTGGCGTACGGGACCCTCTGTGAAGTCCAACTTTGAGCGACTGATCCATCATCCTACTTACAAGTCCTCTTACTATGACACTCCGGTTTCCCCGGCTAAAAGCAAGAGGGGGGACCAGCCGCCCCCGCTGCCGCCTCTGCCCCCCCACCAGCGCAGGGGTTTGGTGAACGGGTCCGACGGGCGGGCCGGTGGAGGGAGAGGGTCGGGAATCCTGTGGGGAGAACGCAGGAGTCCAGTGGACGGCAAGCGCGGCACTCAGACGCTCAGAGGGACGCGTGTGAAAGCATCAAACGGGGACGATTATATCATCCTGTCTCCGGTTAATCCTGGAAGCCAGGTAGAGCCAAGCATTGTCCATCATCATGGTGTCTCACAGCTGCTTAAAGGCTTAGTTCACCCAAAAATGAAAATGATGTCATTAATGACTCACCCTCATGTCGCTCCAAGCCCGTAAGACCTCCGTTCATCTTCCGGTTCTGTTGTGGATCCGCGTTCAGTGCCGCCGCTGACGTAAGACGCTGCTGACCTGTGTCTGGTGTGTGTGTGTGTGTGTGTGTATTCTGGTTCTGTTGTGGATCCGCGTTCAGTGCCGCCGCTGACGTAAGACGCTGCTGACGTGTGTCTGGTGTGTCCGTGTATTCGGGTTCAAATAAATCTGGCTGGGCAAAAAAAAAACAAATCTTCCTCTGTGTGAAATCCTTAGACATGTTTGTGAAGATTGTTTAGTTTCCATGCGTGCGTCTCCCTCAGACTGTGAACGAAGCTCGGGCGCACCAGACACACATCAGCAGCGTCTTACGTCAGCGGCGGCACTGAACGCGGATCCACAACAGAACCAGAACACACACACACACACACACACACACACACACACACACACACACACACACACACACACACACACACACACACACACACACACACACACACACACACACACACACACACACACACACACACACACACACCAGAGACACGTCAGCAGCGGCACTGAACGCGGATCCACAACAGAACCAGAATACACACACACACACACACACACACACACCAGACACACGTCAGCAGCGTCTTACGTCAGCGGCGGCACTGAACGCGGATCCACAACAGAACCGGAAGACAATACAATGCTGAATAAAGTCGTAGTTTTTGTTATTTTTGGACCAAAATGTATTTTCGATGCTTCAACACACTCTAACTAACCCACTGATGTCACATGGACTACTTTGATGATGTCTTTATTTCCTTTCTGGACAAGGACAGTATACCGTACATACATTTACAATAGAGGGACAGAAAGCTCTCGGACTAAATCTAAAATATCTTAAACTGTGTTCTGAAGATGAACGGAGGTCTGACGGGCTTGGAGCGACATGAGGGAGAGACATTAATGACATCATTTTCATTTTTGGGTGAATTAACCCTTTATTGTCTCAATATGATGTGGAAATGTGAGCAGACATGAGGGGGCTGAGACCTTTGGACTTTTGTCGCACTTGAACCACGAATACACACACAAAAACATTTAATGGATTCGAGGAGTTTTGTGGTTGAAATTTTAAAAAGTAATAAATCCTTCCCTCTTCAGTACACATAGAAAAACCTAAAAATGCTAAAACGTTACCAAAAAAATATTTTATAATGACTACATGTGTATCTGAATGCATACTGAAGAAAAACTGACGTTAGGACCCAGCGGAACCGCTCATTTGCTCCATATAGAGCACTATGACGCCATCTAGTGGCAAGAGTTATGAAATATCATGTTATATTATTATTTTTCCACAAGAGGTCGGCAAAGACTCCCAATGTAAGAGATTTTGAGCTGAATTAAAAGGGTTATGCGTGAAATTGTGAGTTATTTTAAATTTAAGTTGAAAGAATGAGGAATGTGCCTAAATTACTATTTATTTATTATTTATTGATCAAATCTAGTAATTTAAAGGTAAATCAAATAAAAAATAAATCTCCAAAAAAATTTCATTAAAAAATAGAAAAATATTATCAAAATGAAATAAAATAAGCTTTCTGGACAAAAAAAAAATGTAGGTATAATTTTAGTGCTTCGGGTCATTTTGACCCACGAGGGATAGATGTTACAAAGTGTGAGGGAAGGATGAGGCTTAAATGTGTAGATGGCCTGCTCTGAAGTACCTACAACAGCAAAGACGTCGTCCTGAGGACTCCTAAATCCTTAAAGTCCCACTCCGATCATATTTTGAGCTATTTTTAAACATTCCCAGTGGTTTTTAAATTATGATTATGCCATTTTTAGCCAAAATCACAAAACCTGTGCCGTTTTCTGGGACTTCGCTTCAGCAGAGCGGCAGTAGCTCATTAGCAATTCGCCTCTGCGTTGTGGGCGGAGCCGTTGGCACGGAGACGACCCTCCCCCTGCCCGTTGCTGAGAGCTCTGTCTCTCCCGCTAGCTTACACCCCCAATACCGGTGGGGCAGCAGTATTATATACACGTTCATTATTATTATCCGAAGTTAATCAAAGTTATCACCGATCACCGATCATTATTTCACTCCAAGACGTCGCGTGTGGAGACGCCCAGTGGAGTTACTACGTCACAACTCCAGTCTATTTTAGCCGGCATTTTAGCGTCTGCTACTGATTCACAGCCATTTGAATGTAGAAATACTCAGAAATACAACTTTGAGCTTATTTTTATCAAGATATGTCCTCTAACATCAGAAAAATGCCACAAGAACATGATAACACCTAGAAAAACATTATTTTCATCGGAGTGGGTTTTTAAGAGAGTCCTGTCTAAAGCATAGTGGCGTTTCTTACAATCTCCAGCATATTGCAAAATCAAAGAAAATGCTGCATGATGTGGAGACATATTTGATGCCAAGCTTCTTTTTTCGTTTAACATTAATAATGTTTCTTTATTTGTAAGTACTTCTTTGGTGTTTTCTTAAACTTTTTTAAAACCCATTTTAAAGTCGCTGTAGTCAATTATTTTATACCTTAAAACTCATCTTTGATCACCAAAATGACATATTAAAGCATTTTTTCCCTTGGGAAGGAAAAAAAATCCTTCATGCCTTAAAATATCTTGAATGTAACTTGATACCCTCGCCTCATTTAGTATACGTGGTTCTATGAATATGCAGATGAGCCCCGCCTCCACTCACTCACTCAGCTCAGAGATCCACTGGTTGACGATCACACGTTGATCTGATTGGTTACAAGGTCGTTTGTGACGTCAGAAACACCAGCGATTTCAAACCGTGTTTTTGAGACTGTCTTTGGTTCACTGCAGAAAATACTCAGCAATGCTGTCGACTTATGAATTTACACATGGTTTGTTTTAAAGCATATTAAAAACACACCTCACGGCGCTCTCTCACGGCCCTCGGCCTCGTCCTGCTCGCCACAATATACGTACAAACAATATTTAAACCTTGCGTTTCACCACAGGGGGACTTACAATATCATTGTAGACAGATGCTGTACCTACAGTAAAGGCACACAAAAGTTTAAAATCCTTATATATAAACAGCAAGATTCTCAATCCCAAGTGTTCTCAAGAAATGCGTCATCATCAAAATTGAAACACAAGAAAACCTTTACATTTAAATGTTTACAGAGTTTTGCGTATGTGCGGTTTCATTAGTTTCTAAATTTGATCTTAAATCAAATGTAGAATCGATTTTAGTGTGAATTTATTGGTGAATCAAGGTTTGGTTGCAGATCTTAGTTTCCATTGAAAAATATCTTTATAACCAACCATGCATCAGTAACGTATTAGGCTACTATTACAGGAAACCTGTGCTTTCTTTTAAATCCGTACTTATAGTATATTTCCGTCTGTTATAATCAAGCCTACGGAAGTGGCCATAGGGTCTTTTACACACTGCACACGCAAACCGCTCTCACGGGGGAAACGTAACAATTTTTCAAGGTGGTAAAGTCACTCCTAACCAGCCTAAATATCGAGTGAACAGGCACACAAACAGTGCTTTCTAGATTTAGATAGTCAGTTTATGGCTAAAGCTTGGGGTTCGGGTGCTATTATGTGAAGATTTATTATCATTTGGATGTATAGGAAGTTTATGTAAATTGCAGTTCACAACAATCTGGTTGTAATTATTCTCAATTCCGACACTATATTTATCACTATATTTTATGTACGAATGCTTCCAGTGTAAAAGCAGAACTTAGGTGTTGCTAATGTGTATTGTGTAAAAAAAGACTTAATATTGTAATCATTGATTCATTAAAGTAGTGAGAAACCTCCACTAATATCTTAACATGTACTTATTGTCTTCACTTATTGACTCTTCAATATTTCCAGGCATTGGGCTCTGTCTATGGAGACAACCACCGGACAAGTAAGTTCCTCTTTCCTAGTGCATTTTCTATTCATGATGTGGTGCAGTGGTTAAGGCTCAGGGTTTGGAAAGTTACTATCTTGAGCCCTACATTGTGTCCTTGAGTAAGAGTCTTAAGCAGGGCAATGAAGGGTATTGCACTTTACATAATGGCACTTTATTTTAAAGTAATTGCTGCCGTTTGATGCTGCTTATTGTTGTTTGTTTTAAGTGTTTTTGTTTAGTTCTTTAACTGAGATTCACCAGACAGAATTTCGTTGTATTATAAGTCCAAGTCCAAGTCATTAGACTGCAAAAAACATAAGAAGTAGTAAAAAAAAAATAGATTTGTGAATTTGTCAATTTGACCATTTCAAATGCCCTTCATGTTTTGTTTGATCCAGTGCACACATTATGGCTTCATTTCAATTAACTCATTACATTAATTTCTATTCATGCCTCTACTTCTTATTACTAGTGGATACTGACATTGGAGACATGATGTTTTCTCCTGTATGGCACAACCTACTGCAGAAATACTGACCAGAAAACATGAGATTTTCATCAAGGACCTGCTTACAGGGTCTAGGGTTGTCATATCGGCTCTTCTATGCTTCTTTTCTTTTTTTTTTATTGCAGGAATACATAGACATTTTACAAAATACACACACATATATATATATATATATATATATATATATATATACACTCACCTAAAAGATTATTAGGAACACCATACTAATACTGTGTTTGACCCCCTTTGCCTTCAGAACTGCCTTAATTCTACGTGGCATTGATTCAACAAGGTGCTGAAAGCATTCTTTAGAAATGTTGGCCCATATTGATAGGATAGCATCTTGCAGTTGATGGAGATTTGTGGGATGCACATCCAGGGCACGAAGCTCCCGTTCCACCACATCCCAAAGATGCTCTATTGGGTTGAGATCTGGTGACTGTGGGGGCCATTTTAGTACAGTGAACTCATTGTCATGTTCAAGAAACCAATTTGAAATGATTCGAGCTTTGTGACATGGTGCATTATCCTGCTGGAAGTAGCCATCAGAGGATGGGTACATGGTGGCCATAAAGGGATGGACATGGTCAGAAACAATGCTCAGGTAGGCCGTGGCATTTAAACAATGCCCAATTGGCACTAAGGGGCCTAAAGTGTGCCAAGAAAACATCCCCCACACCATTACACCACCACCACCAGCCTGCACAGTGGTAACAAGGCATGATGGATCCATGTTCTCATTCTGTTTACGCCAAATTCTGACTCTACCATCTGAATGTCTCAACAGAAATCGAGACTCATCAGACCAGGCGACATTTTTCCATTTTTCCAGTCTTCAACTGTCCAATTTTGGTGAGCTCTTGCAAATTGTAGCCTCTTTTTCCTATTTGTAGTGGAGATGAGTGGTACCCGGTGGGGTCTTCTGCTGTTGTAGCCCATCCGCCTCAAGGTTGTGCGTGTTGTGGCTTCACAAATGCTTTGCTGCATACCTCGGTTGTAACGAGTGGTTATTTCAGTCAAAGTTGCTCTTCTATCAGCTTGAATCAGTCGGCCCATTCTCCTCTGACCTCTAGCATCAACAAGGCATTTTCGCCCACAGGACTGCCGCATACTGGATGTTTTTCCCTTTTCACACCATTCTTTGTAAACCCTAGAAATGGTTGTGCGTGAAAATCCCAGTAACTGAGCAGATTGTAAAATACTCAGACCGGCCCGTCTGGCACCAACAACCATGCCACGCTCAAAATTGCTTAAATCACCTTTCTTTCCCATTCTGACATTCAGTTTGGAGTTCAGGAGATTGTCTTGACCAGGACCACACCCCTAAATGCATTGAAGCAACTGCCATGTGATTGGTTGATTAGATAATTGCATTAATGAGAAATTGAACAGGTGTTCCTAATAATCCTTTAGGTGAGTGTATATATATATATAAAACACACAGACAAACAACAAAATAAGAATAGAAGAAAAACAAAACAAACAAACAAAAGGTAAAGAAAAGAAAGACCTTATAATCTGAAATATATGTCCTTTGTCCCCCCACTCTTCTCTCCACCAAATCCTCCAAACAATAACAATGATATTAAAGATAGCAATATGATTTTATTATTAATATGGCTATCTGTGCACACCCCCGGGCGAAGGACGGTGGGCCCCCCCACAGGGCCAGCCCGACCCAGGCTCTTCTATACTTCTAAACCACAGAAAATGTCTTCCATCTGATATCTGACTGAATCTCACCTATACGCTCATTACTTTCAGCTGGCCAGATGTTCCCCACACCTCAGACGCCTGTTCCACCTCCTCCGGCCACTGGTTCCCAGTCAGCACCTGGACTGGCCAGCAGAACGTGCTTTCTGAGACGCTCTGGCAACAGCAAATCCAAAACACAGCAAAGTGGACATTACCAACAGCCAACACACACTTCAAACTTCGCCAACTACCAGAACTGCACCATTGTGAGGTCACACACGCCTCATGCCAACTTTGGTACATACGTTAAAGCCACACCTAAAATCCTCATCTTCCCCATCTTTGTGCAGGTAAATCTTCCACATCTTCAAAATAAGCACACACATTAAATAAAAAGATCTACTGAGCTCTAGTAGTAATCTCTTCAGAACATGACATAGATAATACTGTATAGAGCAAGTTGTCAACAGGGTTTGCTAATAGGAAACGTTCTCAGAACTGTTCTGGCAAGCTTCTCTCAAAATTATGAACACACGTTCTTCCAGTAACCTAAGTAGAACGTTTGTTCAAAGTTATATGGTCTTTAATAATGTTCTCAAAACTTTAGGACAAAAACATAATTTTTTACATCGTTAGACCCCTTTTCAGTTGGTAAACATGGTGATGTGTTTTTGTGGGCGGAGCTTAGGTGGAGGCAGAACGATCCCTCTGGCCGCTTCCCTAACGTTAGTTTGCAAGTTTTGTTAGCTTGTTTTTTTAACAATGACTGGAGAAAATCCGATTTTATCTTAATGTGTAAGGTCACTCAGTGTCCAGGACCGCGATTGTTATTTGCAAAAGTTAATTTTAACGGACGGAACCAGATTGGCTGACCCGTACACGCTCACTCAATGATGGACAATCTGACAGGATTAACGTTAACCCTACCTCCGGTCGAGTGGCCTGACTTCTACACCTATCAGATAGAGAAACCGAGCGTAAAGAGAAACTGTGGGCATATAAATCTTTTGACGCCTATAACTATGTGCTGAATGGTCATGTACAAGACTTGTGTGGTGCGATCCGCAGTTCTGCCAAGCCAGCGCAAAGAAGACGACAATGTAAAGAGTGACATTTACGGTGCAAATTTAATGATGTGAATATTTTCTAGAAATAAAAATTCCAGATACAGCATATTCATTTTTCATTGATTCTTGCACCCAACAACACAACAAGATGACATTTAATAATAATAATAATAATTTAAGCTCCTTATGTAGCCGAATCTGTGCTGGTTTGTATTGGCCGCCTCCAGTTGTCCGTTTGTTTTGCCTCCAGCTAGCGCTGTGACGTAATTGTGACGTCGATGCAGGACGATCATGTAATGTTTTTTTATGTTACTACTTGTTTCAGAATGTTCAGAGAACATTCAAAAGTAACGTTCCCATAATGTTTGCAGAATTCTAAAATGGAATGTTTCTTTAACGATTGCATAATCAAGAATGTTTTTAAAAAACATAAAAAAAAACTGGACGTTTGAACTATCAGGGAACACTCAGAAATAACGTTAACGGGAACATTAGCAAAACGTTCTTAGAAAATAATAATATTTTTTAGCTGGGATGACCCATATTTTTCATTGGACATGAAGTGGCAGCCCAACACAGCACTGAACTGGTTTATCATCCAGTACACAAGTAAAACCTTAAAATCAAACCTAAAATTCATTAATATTACAATGAGCTGCATATGGCCAACAATATGAAGAAATATGCATAGGAAAATGAATAGAGTAAGTGTAATCTCAAAATGTTTCATGCTCTCAATAGCCAATCAAAACACAAACCATATTTATTCTTGTTGCAAGTGAATCAGTATTTAATGAAGTGTTTCATGGTTTTTGTAGATAGATAGCATGTCACGCAACCTGTCCGAGGTTGTCTTTTGCATACTTAAATACAAACACAATTGCCGCATGTTACAGTGTACTAGTTTAGAGAATAGTGTGGTAAGACATGTTATGTGGGGATTGAGTACTCTATAAAACGCAGTACTTCTAGTTCAGCACTTTCTTCAATCAAAACAGTGTATATTTGATGAGTTATTAAGCTCATTAAGTTGGAGTCAGAGTCTGTTTCTCTCTTTTCTGAAGCCTGTAGAGCTGTGTAGCCCAACAAGAACACTGGTGATCTCTGAAGAAATGATTCTACATGAGAGCAGGCACTTCTCGATCAAGGTAAGAGATACTCTACAGAGTGTGCATGTGGATTTAGGGAATTTCACACTTGAAATTGTTCTAAAAGTAGTACAGTTTTATAACTTCCTTAATGTGGGGTCAAGTGCTTTTAACTGGAATAAAATGAACTCATAGATAATTTAAGATTTATCTCTCTTTTCCCACCTGGACAATGTCTAGTGTAAACTGCTGGAACTCTCTTTTGTCCCTACTTGAGTGAGAGTGTCACGAACTGCTCCGAGACAAGAAGATTGAGGATCCAAATGCAGTATTTATTGAACAGGGTAATCCAAAGTAGCCGGGTCCCACCAGACTCTCGTACATTTCATTTGTACAGAGAGTCTGGCCTTGCTCCATTGACAAGCGTTAACGTCCTCTGTTGAAGTCTAAAACTATTGGATCTGCCCAGAGCCACTCTGGATCTGCCATTACCAATCGCTAATGTTTGGTCATGACGTATGACGACTCAAACCCAAGGGTGTAATCCACCAGCCGGAAACTGAAGTCTCCCCGGGGGCCGCCATTGGCTAGCAAGCCATCACCCGCTGTTAGCACTCCATTGACTCCCATTCATTTCGGCGTCACTTTGACAGCGAATAACTTTACATCTGAGGAGTTTAAAGACTCCATTTGTTCATTGTTTATTTCTAAAGAAACACGACAATGTATAAAAGGCTCCATTACCTTGTATCTTACGTTATGCCCCCGTAGAAGCAGTTTATGTAAAAATAGGATAACGATTGAATCTAGTGCTGTCAAACGATTAAAATATTTAATCGCGATTAATCGCATTAATGTCATAGTTAACTCGAGATTAATCGCACAGTTTTATCTATTCTAAATGTCTCTTGATTTCTTTTTGTCCCATTATTTTTTCTCATTTTAATGCTCTTATCAACATGGAAAAGTGGATCGGCTTGCTTTGTGCAAATGTTTTTTATTGAAAACAACATTGGCATATACTGTGTTTAATTTCACGCTAACATTCTCACTTGGAGCAAATAATCTCTCACACAATGTAACACTGTCCATCAATAAAAGGGTGAAAGAAATACTGACGAGGTCCTGATATTGACGAGGGGGCGGAGGATTCGCATCAGCTGTGTGTGTGTGTGTGTGTGTGTGTGCTTGGCCATCATCAAGTGGTGTTTCAGACTGGAGGTGCTGCGATGATGATAGCTCAGTTCACAACGACAAAACACACAGATCACTTTGGTCTCGTCAATGGAAACATTTGGCAACTTTTTAAAAGTAAACTTTCAATTCAGAATCTTATTGGCATCCATTTCGGCGTCTCGCGCTCGTCATCCACTCAAAACGTAACGTTAACCTACTATTTGGCCGGCTCGCAAGCCCAAACAAGTGTGTGCGGCGTGCCTGTTGTTTTGTTTCCGGTCTAGCTATATCCGCTTGCGCTTTGGTCGACGAAGCAACAAAACGTCCTGTTGCGCCGCGCCGCGTCCTGTTGCAAAAGCATGTGGAAAAAACGTCTCGGGTTACGTATGTAACCCTTGTTCCCTGAGAAAGGGAACGAGACACTGCGTCGGTGACGACACTAGGGGAACGCCCCTTCAGCGTAGCGCGTCTGAATTTATGAAGGAAACCGAATCCAATCCTATTGGCGTTGCGTGATGACGTAGCGTGTGACGGCATACACGGATGTGTACGAAGGCACACCGGCACAAGCAAAGTCAGCTCTTTGCTATGAAGCAAGTGCTCCAAGCAGGGTGAGGTGTGGCGAACCGACGCAGTGTCTCGTTTCCTTTCTCAGGGAACAAGGGTTACATACGTAACCCGAGACGTTCCCTTTCGAGGGAACTCGAACTGCGTCGGTGACGACACTAGGGGAACGAGATACCCACTATACCACAACGAACCCTGCTCATCCTAGTGTGAACTGACTTCAGGCACAACCTAGGACGAAAGCACTTGTGCACCGGGTGTAGAGGGAAGGTCCAGACTGTAAAACCTCATGAATGTGTGCGGAGTGGCCCAGCCAGCCGCCTCACATATGTCATGTATGGAAACCCCTGAAAGGAGGGCTCTAGAGGACGCCATGCCTCTGGTGGAGTGAGCCCTCACGGCCATAGGTGAAGGCAAATTGCGCACCTGATAGGCCAGGGAAATAGTCTGAACGATCCAGTTGCTGATGGTCTGCTTAGAGGCGGGAAGCCCCTTCTTGGGAGACCCAAAACACACCAGCAACTGGTCCGACTTCCGCCATGAGGAGGACTTCTGGATGTAATACTGAAGTGCTCTGACAGGGCAGAGCAGATGAAGTCTCTCCTCATCCGCCGTCACATGAGGCGGAGGATGAAATGCCTGCAGAACCAAAGGCCGTGCCACATTAGATGGCACCTTGGGCAAATAGCCGGGCCTGGGGTGCAAGATGGCCTTAATGTCGCCTGGAGCAAACTCCAAGCACCCATTGGAAATAGAGAGCGCCTGGAGATCTCCTACCCTCCTCAGAGAAGTAATGGCTAACAAAAAGACCACCTTAAATGAAAGGTTCTTGGCCTCAGCCAACTCCAATGGTTCGAAGGGGGCCTCGGCCAGTCCTTCGAGAACCACTGCCAGGTCCCAAGAGGGAACTCTGGTGCGAGTCGCAGGTCTCATCCTCCAGGTTCCACGGAGGAAGCGTACGACCAGGTGATGCCTCCCCAGAGGACCATCACTCAGAGGAGCGTGGAAAGTCGCAATGGCAGCCACATAAACCTTGAGTGTGGACGGGGTAAGCCCGGCAGAAAAGCGGTCTTGGAGAAACTCCAGCACTGAAGCCACTGGGCAGTGAACTGGGTCCAAATCACGCTCTCTGCACCAAATGGAAAATACATTCCACTTAAGGCCGTATAACTTCCTCGTGGAGGGAGCTCTGGAAGTGAGTATAGTTTCAACCACTTCTGCTGACAGGCCGGCTTCTAGGTACTGTGCCCCCTCAGGGGCCAGACCCACAGTTTCCACAGCTCGGGCCGAGGGTGGAGAACTGAGCCCCCCGCCTGAGACAACAGGTCCCTCCTCAGAGGGATCTGCCATGGCGGGCCTGCCAGAAGCAGGATGATGTCCGAGAACCATACTCGGGCCACCCAAAACGGGGCTACTAATAGTAGGCTGACCCCGTCCTGACGGACCCTTCCCAGAACTGCTGGGAGCAGAGCGATTGGGGGAAAGGCGTACAGACGCAGCCTTGGCCACGTCTGCACGATGGCATCCAACCCCAGCGGGGCTGGATGTGTGAGGGAGAACCACAGTGGACAGTGTGTCGTCTCTCGAGACGCAAATAGGTCCACTTCTACTGGGCCAAACCTCTCGCATATTAACTCCACCACCTCGGGGTGGAGTCTCCATTCCCCGGGCCTCAGCCCCTGCCTCGACAGCAAGTCTGCTCCCTGGTTCCGGTCCCCCGGGACATACATCGCCCTGAGAGACGACAGTCTCCGCTGGGACCACAGGAGGATCTGATGCGCCAGTCTGCAGAGAGGGCGCGACCTCAGACCCCCCTGATGGTTTAGGTAAGATACCACCGACATGTTGTCGGATCTTACTAGGACATGGCGACCATGGAGGTCTGGCAGAAAGCTCCTCAGAGCCCGGAACACCGCCAACATTTCTAGGCAATTTATATGCCAAGAGGAATGTTGGTCCTGCCAGAGACCTCTCGTAAAACGGCCGTCCATGACCGCGCCCCAGCCCGAGAGGGAGGCGTCTGTCGAAATAGATATCCGGTGACATGACGCTCCCAGCCTCCGACCCTGGGACAAGAACCAAGGCTTCTTCCAAATTGATAGGGAACGAAGGCATCTGCGCGTAACCCTTATCAAGCGGAATGGATTTCCCCTCGGGGAAAACCCCTTGGCTCTTAACCACCACTGTAGGGCTCTCATGTGTAGCAGGCCAGAAGGAATCACGCTGGACGCTGCTGCCATGAGACCCAACACTCTCTGAAAATGTTTGACAGTGACTGCTTGGCCTAGCTTTATCCTGGACACTGAGGTCAGGATAGACACGATCCGAGCAGGAGACAATTGTGCCCGCATCGTGACCGAGTCCCACACCACTCCCAGGAACGTGGTTCTCTGGGCTGGTGTCAACACGCTCTTCTTCGTGTTGAGTCTCAAGCCCAGGCTCTGGATGTGGGCGAGAACGACATCTCGATGCCGAATCGCCAGCTCTCGCGACTGTGCCAGTATCAGCCAGTCGTCGATGTAATTGAGCACCCTGATGCCCTCGAGCCTCAGGGGTGCTAGAGCTGCATCCATACACTTGGTAAAAGTGCGAGGGGAGAGTGCTAGGCCGAATGGAAGAACCCGATATTGGTAAGCTTTGCCCCCGAAAGCAAACCTCAGGAACTTCCTGTGAGATGGAAGAATGGAGATGTGAAAATAAGCGTCTTTTAGATCTATCGTGACAAACCAATCCTCGGATTGGACTTGACTCACGATGAAGGGAATGGTGAGCATCTTGAACCTGAACCTCCTCAGAGACCGGTTCAAGTGCCTTAGATCTAAAATTGGACGCAACCCTCCATCCTTCTTGGGAACTATGAAGTACCGGCTGTAGAACCCGGACTCCCTGACTGGTGGGGGAACATGCTCTATGGCCCCTTTTTCCAGCAGCGAGTGAACTTCCTGTTCCAACACTAGACCCTGCTCTGGGTGCACTGAAGTCCAGACCACCCCGTTGAATTTTGGTGGGCGGACCTGGAACTGCAGTCTGTACCCAGTTCTTACAGTACGCAGGACCCATGGAGAAATGTTCGCGAGGTTTTGCCATGCCTCTGCGAAATTCACCAAAGGAAATTCAGCCCCTTGGGGCTGGTGTCCAGTGTTTTGTGCAGGATGTTGACGGTGCCCTGAAGCGGAGGACCGGCAGGGAAAAACCAACAACGCCCTACATTGTGCGAACCCGAACACTGACTGCCTGCAAGCCTTTGGGGCAGGCCAACCAGTGTGAGCTCGCTGGGAGCTAGCGTGTCCCGAAGCGTCAGAGAAGGCGGGATACTG